GGCTCATTAGCCAGAAATTCCCATTACAGTCTCCGTGGTCTTTGCCGGAAATGCTATTTACTCATACTACTAGAGCTCCTACAGCTGCTGTCAAGGCCCGAGAAATGATGCCCAAAGCAAAAGCGTAGCGGGACACGTGAGTTGCGTTAATGCTTGGTGATCGTTCATCAACGAGTTTACTGCCTATCGCTGTCCTTTGATGGCCTGCTACTCGTTCTTTTCCTTTTCGTTCTCTTCTCTCTTTTCACTATCTTACCCGCGTCTGTTTTGCGCTCAGTAAGAATGCAACAAACCATCCAGATGAATCTTGGAATGATTCATAAGTTGGTCATCGTTGTCCTCTCTTTTTTTACCCTCGAAAAATCAGCTTTTTGTGGCTGTTTTCAGCAGATTAATTTCACTCGGCCGCAGGCTTTGCACTGTACGTATACAATGTCGTCTGGCCGTTTCGTACCTGCGTCACCAACCTACTATTTATGACATGCACATAATCAGCACTGGTGACTTTGCGGGCGGGTGTTCATCTGCAAATTGATTATGTCACTCGCCTTGATGGCAGTTCACACACAACGCGATGCGTTGTCGCGCCACGCGTTCGCGCATGCAACCAGTCATTAATCACCCTTCAGTGTTCTAGCCAATCAGCATGCTTAAACGTAATAACAAGGTCTTCCCTTCTGGCTCGGCAGATAATTGGTCCACTTTCTAGAGGCCTGTGATGACGTGAACTCATTTAGGCGCACATGCTATGAGTTCAGTTTACCACTGCGCACGGGCCTTCAACAGTCCAAAGCGGTTATTATTATCATTTTAAAACGAATTTGACACGTGTTGCACCGAGAACTTTCGCCTTCCTCAAACTATGTTTCCTGCCAGCGCCAAGAGATCTTCTAGCATTTCAAATCTGTCCGAAGGGCATCCACATGAGTGGCATCAACGCAGCTGTTCAACAGGATGGAATGCATATAACTCTGATAATGTTAAAATCCCCCCTTCTACAATGGAGCCAGTCGCATTTCGTCTGATTAATGACTACCAAAGTAGACACCAGAGAAGAGCACGGCCTAAGTTTCAAATTGCGGACTATGATGATGACATTTATGACGGGAATGCCTATTATTCTGAGTATTCCGACGAGGCACAAGAGGAGGGACAGTCTGGAAGGAGTTGTCTTCAGTCAGACGATACAACCAACGGCCATTCGGATATAGTTCTGCAACTCTTGAAACTCCTTTTTCGGGACCTCCCTCCGCCCGATCCTAAATTTGTTGAAGGCCTCTGTCATAATCCTGTGTACCTTTGTTTTCCACCACCCGCTAATGATGCTCTCTTACTTCCTGCTTTGGCCTGCCTTCCTGACGGAAACCGCTCCCGCATCGGATCCCTTGTACGAACCGGATTCCGCCACATTTTCTCCCCGTCTCATCGCAAAAACTCCCAACTTCCGCCCACCAAATCACGCATCTCTACCGTCTCTCTGCCTGGCGGTGTATTTTCTCATAAAAACAAACACTTGGTCAACCATTGTGATACCGAAAATGACCTGCTGCGATATCAACGTTGGTCCACGGTTCAACCTCCAAATCTGATGAAACTCGCCCTCCTACTGCAGGGATCGGACTCTGCAAGCTGTCAGTCATCCCCTCCCAGCAATACACCCCTCAGTTCCTCCCAACCGGAGTTCACGGTACCTGCACCTCCGCCGCCGCCGCCGCCTCCTCCTCCTCCTCCTCCCTTGTTAAATGAAGCCGATCAGCAGGCTTCCGATAAGCCACCGACACCTGCGAAAGGCGGGACTGTAGAGATTGGCCTTCTTAAGCACGACGTAACTTCCCTCGAAAAGGCTATTCGGAAAACTGAGTCCCAACTTAAAGGTGCGTAACATTTTCGTCCTTGCATTTTCAAGTCTCTTATTTACCTTTTTTATTATTATTCAAAAACGGAAATTTCAAAAAGGGGAATTTCACTTTTCTGATTTAAGGAAAAACCTTTGTCATTTCTTTTTGGCTTATGCATAGGTAGAACGTTTATCTGATTCCGTGCACGCATTTTGCTGTGATTGTTTAAATAATTATAGTCGGAGACTTCATAGGGGAAAGGCCGCATAGGTCCCTGTTATGTCTTTATTGTGTTGCGGCATTTTGAAGATTATTTTCGACTGCATCAAGAAAGACTGCGGTGAGGGGTTCCATTGATCATCAAAATTATCTGACCTCTTGTTACTGAGCGCCACTACGTCTTTTTAGATCCGCTCTGCAGCTGCAAATTAATCGTCGCAACCCTTACTAGACGTTCTCAAGCCTTTCCTGGACTCGCTAGCTCTTCTCAGGCGTTGCGGCAGTGTCCCGGAAGCCGCTAGGTGTCGGTATAATAGTTGCTTTAGTCTTTATTTGACCAATACGTCGCTCGAAATTGCCTTTTCGAGTGATTGTCACCGCATCTCCAACCTCAGCCATGTTTAAATCCAAATTGGTGTCTTCTTCGGCGACCATGAAAACCACCCTGCCTTATTCATTGAGTACCTTCACTTGCACTTTCTATTTTTTTTTTCATTGGCTTAGTCACCTAAAAAAATTCCTTTTGGGGGATCATAGGCAATGCAAACTATAGATTAACGTGATTTAATGAAATCTCTTCACGCTCAGCACTTTCAAATTCGGACCAGTAAAGGTTTGAAATATTGTTTTCTCCGCAGAAATTTAAACAAGGCGCAGATCACGAGACTAGCAGGATTTATTGAAATCATATACTTTCGCGACGTCTTATTCAACTGCAAGCATTTACATGTAGTTGCGGATTCAAATATATCGGGCGCACGTAAGCGCAGTGGGCAACGCGGTCAGCTGAACACATGACGAAGTGGTTGCGCTGGACGGAAAGTAAACGTTTAATCACGAAGCTCCTAGTGGACACTGGGCCATACGGTCGAGCAAAAACCTGCATTTAAGGCCGTACTTCGTGTGAAGATCGGACTTCTCCTACGATTTATGGAGGCCGCCGGAATACGGGGAAGAGAACCAGAACTATGTAAGTAGCTGGATCATGTGATCAACCTCGCATTGCTGTGGTAACGATCGGTAAACTCATTCCCTCTCACGCCTCTT